GCAACAGTGTTAACAGATTAATGCGATTAGGGTTATAAAGTGTGAAACCCCGCAACTGTGAGATAATTAATTGTAGCCGTTATTTGTAGATTGTTAAATAAACCCAATTAACCATCTCTACGGCGTCTTCAGTAACAAAACACGTTACAATACTATAATATCCTGTGCCTTCCATGATATGTATACAGTTGCCGTCTTGTAGTGCACTCAATTTCACCTGTTACTTCACGACATGTTTTGGCAACATAGTGCCATCATCAGGTGCCCTAATTACGCTAATCTAGTTCATTGCTTGCTTTATAAAATTATTTAAAAAGTATTTAAAAAGTGCGTATTTGTCAACTATAATGAATTTACACACACTAAAACTTGTTAAGATTATTCATTTTATGTGTCATAATTAAAACTTGTGTGTGGTTCTTCCACTATGGGGGTCATTTTTCTTATATTCTGTGTAAACCGTGTCTTGTGATGTGTGTTCCCTTCTTAGCTGCGAGTGTTGTAACATTATGAACATTAATATCCTGTGCCTTTTTTCCAAACATTTTTTTGCATACTTTACAAACATTTATAGCTCTACTAGCAAAGCTGTAACAAACATTCTTTACTCACATCTGAGTCTCTAAACTTGTATGATAAAGACACATTTAGTAATGAGATTAATCAGGTTGCATTATGTGAATATGTTTGCAATGTTATAACATAAATTCTAAGACCTGCTGCAGATAAATGGATATATGCTGAGTCACAGAAATGGTAGGTTATTCTAAGAATCATTATTTTACGATATATGAACCCATTTAAAATAAACATTCGGGAAGAAAATTAATATTAGACAATATAAAACAAACATAATTCTATCTCTCATAAATTAAAGCCTCCATTTTCTTTCTACTATCCAACAATTTCACCACAAATTGTCAGTGAAGTGTAGGACATAAAGAACATTTCACTGCCAGAAGCTTGTACACAGTCACAATCCAGCCAAAGCTCCGGTTTGTGTCAATACAGTGCAATGGATTGAATGACACAATACTGACGGCTAACATACCACATTTAAAAAAGCATCTTCACCTGTATTCATAATATTCTTGATTATGGGCTGTATAACCAATGGAGGCAATTCAAAACTTAAGGCATGATCTCACACGGGATCAGTAACTACACATGCACATTCTGTTATCTAAGAACTGGAACTTACATGCCATCCGTTGCCTTCACCGCATCTTCTGCATCATCCTTCTCTCGAAAAACAACAAATGCAAAGCAAGGTGGTGATCTAGCAACCCATATCTCTCTGAGGGGACCATACTTATCAAAAACATGCTGCAATTCACGTTTTGATACTCCCATTCCTGAAAAGTTACAAACATCTATCACCATAAGCTCATATAATAAACCTGGGACACCTGAGGACTCAGGTTCAGTATCCTGAGATACTAAACAGAGCATGGAAGACGGGAAGTGCACCAGACAAAATATCACAATTTTCACACAGAACTAAACATCTCCTCAAAAAACAAACAGCAGCAGCACTGACATAACCTAACCTAAAGTAACATCAACAGGTCATGCATAAGCAGAAGATCTGCATGTTGCCTAGGTTGTTTTTACGTAAGATTTGAGGTTTTCATGGCAGTGACTATGAAGAAAACAGTCTTCTGGGATGTGGCGCCATGTAGATGTGGTGTTAACCAATGTTTCGGAGGAACGTATAGCCTCCATCTTCAGGGTAGAAGGAAAAATATTATTATTTTATTATTATTATTATTGGAGGGGTGGGTTTCCCCATGCACCGCGACCAGTGGTCTACTGTACGTCCCCTCTGTGATATTCTACCAGTCTCTATACACTACCGATACTGGTGCGTGCCATCAGTCCCGACTCAGCCAGCGAGTTTAGCCTCTACTGGCTCAGCGGTATCTCTCGATGCTTCCCCCATCTATCAGAGGCGTTAGAGACTACTGTTGGGCGGGAAATGTCTGATCAATTTGGCTCAGTGGTCCCCTTGGGACATGAGGTTCTTTTACGTGCCGTAAAGCTATGACATGGGACCCACAGCTTAAAGTCCCTCCCACAGGACTTGTTCCCTGAATTTTTCCGCCCTTAAAAATTCCACGACCTCCGCCGGGTTTGAACCCGCGTACCTTGAGTCATGAGGTGGGAATGTTACCCCTACACTACGGAGGCCGCTAGAAGGAAAAATACAAAAATATGCAAGCGAAGCAAGAGTGAGAGCAGGAGCAAGCAGACTAATGTTGGAAATAAACTCAGCTATATGAGAGCAGGAAAGGAAGGGGACAGGTCTACATGGGAAATCAGTGGAGAGGGAGAGGGGAAGGTTCTGGGACAGGAGCAAGGTTAGAGCAGGTATACTTGTAGGATATTGTGTTGGGAGGGGGGGGAGAAAGGCAAGATTAATGGGAAGGCATTAACCCTTAAGCTGGGGGGTTGCTATGCAAGTTAGTTCACTGACTGCATGGGCCTTGTGGATCTGGCGTCTTGTCCCAGGGGGTTTTTTAGAGAAGAGATGAGAGGCTTTCTTCGCTTGTGGATTTTATTATTTTTCCTTCTACCCTGAAGATGGAGGCGATATGTTCCTCCGAAACGTTGGTTAACACCACATCTACATGGCGCCACATCCCAGAAGATTGTTTTCTTGTTTTTAAGTGTTTGTGATTCTGCCAAATTGTGTGATCTAATCATAAGACAGATCACCCTACTGTGTTGAGTAAACATAGACTTTATCCACTGACTTGTAACATTCTTCACTTTGCATGCTATTTTCTCTATCAGATATGCTGAAAAGGCCAAGACAATGGAGAAAGTAAATTCAGTAACAGGTGGGAAGTTTAATAATGTACAACAGTCTACGAGAACTGAGGTTCTCATGGCAGTGAATATTAATAACAGAATTATGGGATGTGATGTCTTTCAGTACAGTAGATATGTCACTGTTTCAAAGAAACCTGCTGCCTCCATCATCAGGGTACAACAGAGAGGGGTGTTTAAGAGTATACAGTGATGAAGGAAGCTGCATGTTCCTGCATATATTGGCAAATATCTACCACATAACATGGCATCTCATCCCAGAAGACCAGGACTTATTATAACAGTCTACTTTCCAGCTCACAAAACCTCTTCAAACATTTATCAATATTAGCAATTCAGAACTGCTACCTACAATAAAAATATACTGTAACATGTTGGTGACCAGACACAGGGTTTGGATTGATAACTGGATTTACTGGATGCATATAACCCATGATTACAAATACTTAAAACACTTCCACTAATCTGCAGACACTACAAATCACTACTGCAAACACTGTCTTCTCAGTCTGCTCTTTACTAGCCATTGCTTGGTAGTCCCATCTAACAACGCAAGCTGAGAGAGAGAGAGTTACTTTACGACTGGCGGTTTACTGCAAATCAGTTTGTCTTGGCAATGGGCCCCTTGAGGCCCACAACCAGAGATTTTTTCCAACTGAACTCTTGCGGTAATAGTCCTTATGTAACATCCTCTCTAACAAGAAGATGGGTTTGTCTCTTGTAATATATTCTTGACCTTTTGTCAAGTGTATATTTTGCACATATAACATGTTATTGAAAATTCTTCCTTTTGCACTACACCCAATTCCTCTGTCAGTACAGGCTTTACAGAGCAGATCATGCCTAACTTACAGATCTTATGCCACAACAATAACTTAATCATTTGAACAGTCGTAAGCTTGACCACCGCCAAGTTTAAGCCTCTTATATTTTCTGTGTCTGGCTTCATCTTGTCCTATACTGCGAACATGTTCATTCTCATGATTTTGTATGACTTCTGCTTGTCATCTGCATAATTCTGTTATATAATCATATACACATGGAAAGTTGAAAGCTATGTGCAAGTCGTGGACTGGTGTGCACCTTGGAAAATTTCCAATGGTGTGCAAAACTTTATTTTGCATGCGCTGCAATTTTAGGACATAGGTGTCTGCCGCTAATTCCCAGGTGGGACAAGCGTAAGTCATTACTGATCTGATCAGTGCCTTACAAAGGGTTAGTTTAATAGTTGCGTTTACGCAAGTCAAGAACTCCAGACTTGCAGCCACTGACTCAGCACAGACCGCACAGAAAACACAACATCCAATATGTAAGATTTGAGGCTTTCACGGCGGTGACTATGAAGAAAGCAGTCTTCTGGGATTTGGCGCCGTGTATATGTGGTGTTAACCGACGTTTCGGAGGATCGTATCGCCTCCATCTTCAGGGTAGAAGAAAAAGTGTAAGAATTCTGCAAGGGACAAGACCGTGAGAACGGTAGTAGCAGACTACTACTACTACCATTCTCACGGTCTTGTCGCTTGCAGAATTCTTACACTTTTTCTTCTAACCTGAAGATGGAGGCGATACGATCCTCCGAAACGTCGGTTAACACCACATATACACGGCGCCAAATCCCAGAAGACTGCTTTCTTCAACATCCAATAGTTCATCTATTGTTACATGTTGATTCGTTATTCAAACATGACTTCCATGCCACTGCCTAGTAATGACCGCCTCTTCTTTTTATACTATAACACCTTTCAGCCTTCATGTCACAATATATTTATCTCAGAATAAATAACACTGAAAAAGGATATACAATTGCATATTCCGTGAATAAATTGTCAAGGGGATAACTTATGCCGACACGTTTTGTATTGCAGTAAATCTAAAGGCATTACATACCTAAATCAGCAACATGAAGTCTCACACCATCTTCATCATCAGCGCTGCCACTCCGACTGCTGCCGTAACTCCTACTCCTACTTCTTCGGCTGCGACGTTCATCATACCTTTTCCGGCTCATGGTTTTAGGCTACAGCCAACTGGTGGTGTAGGGCACGCGTTGTTTCTTGTTACAGCCTGGTAATCAAACACTTAATGTGCACTGTACATTCATAAGCTGTGGGAAAACCTTGGGAGTCCCTTCAAAGAAGTAGAAACTCTACTAATCGGAAGGACTACAACATAATGCAGGTTTTTGCAAGTTGTGCAAGGCCCTGCTGGGAAAAGAAGTAAATATACATTGAAAACAAAGTAGCACAAACAACAAAGAAGGCTATAAAATAAATTCCTCTGCAATGCTAAAGTCCAGCACACTGTATAAATATTGCTATGAACCTATATTAAACTTCTTCATAATATTTTTAAGAGTTACTCTTACAGTGTCAAGTCTCCGTTCTTAAACATGGATGCAACCACATTTAACATCACAGTAAGACCTCATTAATTCAGACTAACTGGAAGTAAACCCTTGTCCAAATTAGTGAAGTCCAAATTAGTGAAGTCCAAATTAAAGAAGTGCTACTAAAAATATTTTCGGGGAAGTTACAAAATGGACTTCACATGTCTTTTTACGCAATACTTCATTTTGAAACTATATTATTATTAAATAAATTTGTTATAAAATGTAAAATTACAAGTTTTGACAACAGTCTTAAAAACTTTTTAGGTAACCTACATAATATTACTGAGACCGTATTTATAAATGAACTTATTTTGGTTTGTGTTCCTTTGTCACATCTTGCTGATCACAGCAATGTGATCATCAAGGTTGTAATGCACAGAAAAAACAATTATTACTGCAAATTTTAAAGCAGTGAAGTATGAATTATCCTAGGCTGCTGAAAACAAGAATATCTACTAGAGTTAAAAAAACCCCTGTTACAAAGAGATTTTTATGGTAATGTAACCGCACAATGCAGGAACCTCAGCAATGCTGCTGATTTACATTCTTAATTATAATGTACTACAAGTCAACGAACTGTATTACTGTTAACAAAAGATGAAACACAATTGACCCCAGCACCAGCAGGCGCCAAGGACGACATCTGGTCTTTCTGAGGGACAAGTGAGCTGCAGGTCACTTGAAAACTCAGAACAGAGCAGGAAGTATCCCACTGTGTTTTCTGGGAATTTCAATGCTTAACTTCAGTGGTAAGAGTCTTTGAAAATTTGAGACTTGACAGACACAAGTACCAATAATTTTCAAGGGGCGTACCGAGCAATCGTTAGTGTACCTTCATTTATTTGAGAGCTGTCAAAAGACCGTCCTGTACTTAGGCCCAAATTAACATGGATCTTGTTAGGGATTGGCTGAATGTAAATGAGAGAAACACCCAAATTTTAGGTTCAGCCAATCAGCAAAATTTCAGAGGAGAGGAAACCAGGCGTTCCCGGAAATGTCAAGACTTCTGCCTCTCCGGAGGAGTCAGTCGTCTAAAGTGAGTAACAGGAGTCAGTTGCCTAAAGGGAGTAACAGGAGTCAGTCATTTAAAGGGAGTAACAGGAGTAACCTCCCGGACGTTAAATCAGTGTTGGCCGAGTCTGGTACACAAATTCTAAAGTGCTACAGCCTTGTAACATGTAATTCTAGTTCACATCTACAATAAAGAGCAACAGTGTTGGTGAAGTGTGTATTTTAAGTGTTCTCTATCTCCTTGTGTGAGCAAGGCCAAGAAGTCGCCGAGACAGAATCTTGTCCTACTGTCTGAGCAGCCGAAACCCCAAACACCCGCCTATCCATGTCCCACCTTTGTTTTCCCCGTTCCAAATTCATGGATTTCACCGAAGTCCACTGGTGCCCATACAAATTCATATTCAGAGTAATCCCACGCCCTACCCTGAACCAGACAACAACAAGTGGCGGATGAAAGTGGAGACCAACGTAAGGGCACTAAGAGGGCAGTTATAAGTGGCGACCAACTTGTGGGGCTTGAAGCCTCACTGAGTGGGTCAGTTATAGTAAAGTCGGCTTCTATGTTAATTAGTAATGCTATGAGTTCATGTGATGGACCTAATTATTTGAATTTTAAGATGATTAAAGAACATGTACATTTGGGCAAATTTATTTTCCCATTGATTAAAGAGTCATCAAAAAATTTATCTAAGGCAGTCCTTCAAATCTATCATCAAAACAGTCAAGGACTGCAATGTAAAATTGACAAGATTTTAAATTTTTATATCCCGATTTTCCTCAATATTGTGCTTATCTGAGCATCATCTTAATCAGTTGGAACTCATGACAATTCATCTAGGAAATTATACCCTGGGAGCCAGTTACTATATATGTTCTATGAAAAAGGGTGGTGTTTGTATTTATGTTCATTGTGACTTAAGTTACTTACATTACTCTAAAATTGATTTGAGCAAATTCTCTACTGATCAACATATTGAAGCAAGTGCAATTTTATCATCAAACTTTTCTGATAATATTTATATTATATCAATTTACAGAGCTCCTAGTGGTAATTTTACTCTTTTTTATCTAAATTAGAATCTATTCTTAATTTGATTTTTAGAAATAATACTAAAGTGGTGATATAAATGTTAATTATCTAACTGATAATAACAAAAAGAAGAAAATGGATTTGTTTTTAGCTTCATTCAATTTATCAAGTACAGTGAATTTTCCAACAAGATCACAAAATGTTTCTGCAACCGCAATAGATAATATAATTATTGATGCATCTCTGCAGAAGAATTATGTAACATATCCTTTATGTAACGGGCTTTCTGATCATGATGTGCAATTAATTGTTTTAACAGAAGTTAAAGCGTTCGTTAAGATGGAAGTTTCAAGTGGAAAAAAATAATAAGGAAAACTGACCAGGCTACTGAGTTTGATTTCAAATATAATCTGAGTTTTGAAACTTGGGACTCAAGCTTTGGTGCTAATGATGTAAATACAATGTATAATTCTTTTAACTTATTTCTCAGAATATTCTATTCAAGTTTTCCTCTAAAAGAACAGATAATTAAATCAAATAATAATTCATGTATTACCCCTGGCATAGGTATATCTTGTAGGCATAAAAGAGATCTTTACTTACTATGCAGGAATAGTAATGATGAGGCCTTGAAGAATTATTATAGACAGTATTGTAAGATACTAAAAAACGTTATAAGGGAAGCTAAAAGAAAGCATTGTAATAAACAGGTATTAAAAGTCCGGTAATAAAATAAGAACTGTCTGGGACATTACAAAACTATTAACTGGGATGTTAACCAAAGTAGACACAATTCAAGAATTAAAAGTTAATGGAGAGGTTATTAGTAACAGACAAGATATAGCAGATTCCTTGAGTAGTTTCTTCTTATCTGCGGTTGAAAATCACATAAATACAAATTTAAAATTAATAACAAACCATTAGATTACTTCTGACAAGCTTTAAATCGTCCTTTCCCTAGCATACAATATCATGCCGGAACGTCTACTGAGATATACAAAATTATTAAATCCCTAATAACAAAAGGATCTCATAGCTATGTCAAAATATCAGTTAAAGTTCTAAAAATTAGTTCTCCATTTATTATTTCTCCACTAACTTATATTAGCAATAAAATGCTATCTTCTGGTATTTTTCCCAAAAGGCTAAAATATGCTGAGATTAAGCCTCTGTTTAAGGGTGGTCATAAAAATGATCCTACTAACTATAGACCTATTTCCCTTTTAACTTCCTTTTCAAAAATATTTGAGAGGATTATATTATCCAGACTGAATCAGCATGTTTATGACCATAATATTATAGTTAATGAACAATTTCGTTTTAGACCTCAATCTTCAACTACTAAAGCTTCATATGTATAAATTAAAGAAATATTAGAAGCATTAAATAAGAAAAAAATTGTAGGTGGTATTTTCTGCGGCTTAAAAAGGGCTTTTGATAGCGTTAATCATGGGATTTTATTGAATAAACTTCAATTTTATGGAACAGATGGTAAAAATAATGATTTAATTATATCCTATTTATCTGATATATATCAGAGAGTTTTAATATCAAGCACCGACTTGAGTTATGTTGGTACCTCCAGTTGGGATATTGTAAGGCATGCTGTCCCACAGGGGTCCATTCTTGGTCCACTTCTTTTTCTCTTTTATATAAATGATCTACCTAAATTTTTTAATAACTCTGTCAAATCAGTTTTATTTGCAGATGATACAAGTTTAGTTATTAGTAGCTATAATAATATACAATACAGAAATGATGATGATATTTCCTTTGCTTATCTTAATGATTGGTTTAATTCAAACTTATTAACTCTAAATTTTAACAAAATTAAACATGTTCAATTTATGATAAAGCCAAGTTCTAATAGCATAACTTCTGTTAATTATCATAATAATGTGTTTTAAGCAGTACAAAAGTGAAATTTTGGGGATTAGCTATTGAAAGCTCTTGTACTTGGAAAGCTCATATATCCCAACTCATACCTAAATTGTGCAAGGCTTGTTACACAATGAGGGTGATCAAGCCCATTATGCCCACAGAGACATTAAAAATGGTATATCACTCTTTATTTCCATTCACTTTTGACCTATGGAATTATTTTTTGGAGAAATTTTTATAGTATGCACATTTTCAGAATTTTAAAGAGAATAATTGGAACCATGAGTGGGTTGAGATCTAGGGACTCTTGTAGAGATGAATTTAGGGACTGGGGAATTTTGCCATTACAGTCCCAATATATATTTTCTTTAATGTTGGTTGCAAATAATATGGGCTTATATCACATGACATCACAAATTCATGGCCTTAATACTAGGCATAATTTTGATCTTTATCCTCCTCATACAAATTTGACAACTTACCAGAGATAAGTATTAAACTTTTTAATCATCTTCCTTTAAATGTAAAAGAGTTCATTCATAACATTAAACAATTTAGAGCAGCTTTAAGTGCTTTTTACATACTAAATCCTATTACACTTTAGACGAATATTTTAATTAGGGATAGTTTCTTGTTTAGCTATGACCCAGTATTTGATCTATTGTCATGAATATGTCCCAATTTTGTATTATATTTTATATACACATGGTAGGGTATGTAGTTGCAGTGATGTGTAGGGGTTTCATATGCTTGATTTATTGTTGTGGACTTATATGCATTGTTCTGTTGACTACTTTCTGATTTAGCAAGCTTGTGGTGTGACAGGTCCTGTATCCAATGGCTTTGGCCTTGTATGGATGTGCTGGAGCATGTAATAAATACAATAAAATACAATACAATTAGTGAGGTTTCACTGTAATTTTAATTTTTCATAATATTTTTTACACATTTCCTTCATTTTTCAATTTTAATATTTTTTCAAAAAATCTGTGGTATAGGGAGAGGGGGATACCTCCTCACAAAAGGTTCTTTGGGCTTCACTGTATCTAGAAAACTGATGCAAACTGAGTGCTACAAGGTGAGCCACTATGCCCTCTATTATAATAGATCAGGGAAGGTCGTGGCACAACGGCCAGTTTAGGTCTACCCCTTATGCATTCATCCATCAAATTCTCCACAAATAAGAATATCTAACTAATTCTAAATTGTAATCAACTGTAAACAATTGTAACTATTGTAATTTTAATCTTACTCATATATTAATTGTTAATATTCAGAATTAACTTGACTTGTCCTATATCATGTACAATGATCTACAGTGACGAAATAAATCAATCAATCATTCAAACCCTCTATTATCTAATATAGCATCACTGAACTTAGAATGCATCCTACACCAAACACACTGCACAGCTTCAAAGTACATGAATGTGAATAAGATGGTGTTAAGAAGCAAAGAGTTATGAAAGTGCCTCATCACATGAACAGAATAAGCTGAGAGGATCGATCTCAATATAAACAAGAATATGATGATGAGAATCAGATGGGAAAGGAAATTACGAACGTGAGAATATTAAATTTAAACAACAAAATTGGAACACTGTGAACTCATTTCAGGCACCCAGGAAAGAACAAATTTGTCATAAAGATAGTACAAAACCTTTTGTATGGTACAAAATATACATGCGAACATTGGTCACTAAACATCCCAGAGAACTCATGAGAGACTAAAATAAATGTATATAAAGAAGGTTCTATGAATATTAGTGCACACACCCTTCAGATAGGTGTACGAGCTCACAAGAAAATGTTCCCTGATCAACAAACAATGAATGCAGCTACTTCTACCATCTACCACAATGACGGAGCAAATGCTACTGTAAAAAATAAAACAAAAATGAAATATACAGTATATTTTACTCAACAGAAAACTCTAGACATGCTGCGACCCAAATGATGGTTCACAGCCTCCACCACACTGAAAAAGTGCTACAGCCCTAATGAAAATCAAATGGTTTGTGAATATACTTCTCAACCTGTATCTGGATCTGCTTGAATTTGAAATAAATGAGCATGAACAGGTGAACTATGTGGTAATAAATGTGAACAATATTGAACTATAAACTGTCAGAAGAGAATGAGGTCATTACTGCACCATTCACACAGTTTTATCTGCGGCCTTAAATTGTAGTGGAGAAGTCTGTGATAAAAAGTCTGGCAATGGATCAAAATGACCAACACCAACTAATGTGTAGATTTAGCATTAATTTAACTAGATTTAATACACTAAGGTTAAAATGGTGTTGGTGGATGAAAACTGTTGGGAAGTCTGTGGATTTCATCTGGTCTTTTGCCATAACTCATTTTTCTTGTCAAAAGGGAAGTCATATGCTAGTATACAAAGAGATCTGCTCAGCCAAGGTGTACATTAATAATACGTCATTACAACCAAACGCAGTTCAATGTGAATTAAGGGTTATTTGAAAGGGAATAATATAATCATGGGCCATTTTTGGAGAGAACAAATAACTTCACTGCTAGAATCGCAGTAGTTCTAATCCGTTCTATAACCATCTTTGTGGAGCGTGAGCTTAAAAAATGAGGTAAAGTTATTTAGTTAATCCACGATTCAAAGTCCGTGGAAGCAATTTGAACCGATCCGGACAGGCGAAGCTTCTGCACATAACACACATAATCTCCGAAAATCACAGCTGCGACGATCAATAATTGCCTGTCACTTGCTCATTGACTATAACTTGGCCATTTAATATGCACACTGCAATTCATTGTTATTACTGTTATTATCATCATCATCATCCTACTCGGTAAACATTTAACTAGAGTTCAAAGTCTCGTTAATAAACCTATGTTCCACGTTACCTTTTGCCCACAACGTAGTGCTGATTAATAGACGAAAAAATATATTCCGTAGTGTATATATTTTCGATAACGACCTTTGAAAACTGTAAATTATTTATAATCATACAGCACCGCACACAGCAAACCTCCAGCCTCCATAAACCTTGCCAAGGGTCATAAAATAGTCCAAGACATTTATACTTAACTATCCAATTTTCTTATTTAATATTGAATGAATAACGTATAAACAGAACACATAATTAAAACGATTTAAGGTACTTATTCCGTAAGTAGCTGCAGACCGTAATACATACCTTCCGAGCCTTCCGAGAACTGAGAACTTTAGTGCATTAACACACAACAACGACAACGACGATGATTATGTGCAATTTAGAATAGCATCTGTGCCATCTGTGCATTGCAGGAGGTAATCAAAAACTGAATTCCAGTCTGGCCAATAACTGAAATGAAAATTCAGTAACTTTCTATACAAAATTAACTCAAATTATACGCAAGAAAATAATTATTCTTCACTAAAATACAGTTCACATCAACAAATTATGGAAACTAATACAGAACAGTAAAAATTTATCCCTAGACGAGCCTGCTTCATAACAGCGCAGTTTCCTACAACGGCAGAAATGTATGCTCTTTTACGGAACTATACTGAATGCAATCATCATCTAACATTCTTATTCAGATCCGTTCAGTTCTGTGCTGACTATAATAACAGCACCGGGGATTTTAGCATTACGGATTTCCTATAGATAGATTTTCTCTCGGGTTTTGGAAAATAGTTCCCGGTCTCAGAACGAATAAGAAAACTTCCAGAATTACTGAGTTCTGCATTTCTTTGCTCAGTACAGCATAAATATTGTATACAGTGTCTCTGTATTGTAAGGAGTACGTGGTAGCGTAGTGGCTAAGGCTACAGGACGGAAGGTTGCGGGTTCAAATCCCGATGAGGTCATTGGATTTTTTTCAATTGACCTAATCCATCCGGCCGCACTAGGCCCTGGGGTTTACTCAGCCTCTAACAGAAATGAGTACCAGGAATTTTCCTGGAGCGTGAAGCACGGGAGGCGCGTAAGTCTGGCAACGTTACCGACATCTTTGAGCCGATTGTCAAGGTAATGTGGGACCCTTAACGCCCTTAACGTCTCACAACCCTATGGGCCTTCACGGCCTGTTACAGGGATAGCTTTGCTTTTACTTTACTTTATATTGTAAAGGAGACGATTCTATCGCCGAATTGCTCCAAGCCCCTTCGCGTTCTTAACCTTAATTGACCTGATACAGCGCACTAAACAAACACTATTCACAACATCAAGCACACCTGTGAATCCTGCATGAGCAACTAATTCTCAGGGCCGCTCAGAACCCGGAACACAGGGCTAAGCAACGCTTTAGGGTGGTTGTGTATACGGCAAACGAAGGTCGGATAACGCCCACTTCAGTGACGATGTTCTTAAAGTGCGAATGCTTTGTCGTTCGTCGAAAGGGGGGGCAAAATTATCATTCTGACCACTCTGACATTCTGCACATAGAGAAGACTACAAGTCGCTCCCAGCAGCACTGCCCATATACGATTCAAACCCAGCACCTCCTAAATAAAAAACAAATGTTGCTGCAAGAAGGAATTTTCATGGCCTCAACATCATTAATTCAAACAACTTCTGCAAGATGTAATTTATATACTACCTCTTAACTCTGTATTCCAAAATTCCATCTGTCATCTGACAGCCTCTTCTTGCAATGAAACAAATTTTTATTCTACAGCCACAGCCCCTTAACACTGCACTGAATTCAGCTCTGAAGTGTTCCTGCTTAAAATTCTGAATTACAGTACAGTATTCCTCAGTCACCTCGGCTTTACTATACAAATCATTTGACACGCCTCAGCCTTACCTGCGATAAGTGGATGAATATAATACATACATATATAAAAACTAGTTGTGAAAGAAATAAACAGGAAAAGGGAAGGAAGGAATTGAGTGAGTAAAAAAAGCAAACAAATGTAGTGAACTTCATTTACACTTAAACATTGAAAATTACAGTGATGCAGTATAACTATATATTACAGGATTGTTCTTTAAAATATATATTTTACTTTTATAAAACTGGGTAACATCACAGTACACTTATACAGCTACACAATGAAACATGGTAAGACTTCTACCAGTCAAATCATGGAAGATTACTATTTTCAATATGAACTGTTTTTCCTTTATTTCTTAATTACAAAACATGGGTCTACATTACTTTTGCACTGTTAGCACAGCTATTACAATCATACATAACTTCAGTATAATGAACACTTCACATCTTGACAAGTTAGCACTGATCAACAAGAGTCTGAAGGATCACACACTTAAAAAGAGTGTGGAATAAGCTATTTAAACGTGACACAAGTCCCTATTTGCAGTCATACTGAATACCTGAAAGTGAATCAACTTCACACAAATCTGCTTCATGGACTTCTTTGGGCCTTCAGTTATCGAGCATTAGCTTCTGCTATAGTACAAACCATAGAACTTCAAGGCAGTGTCTTCAGATGTAGTGATACAATCAAATTCAATATGTCTCTACTGAGGCAATCACATCTAGTCAAACAACTTATTACATGATCATAAGTGTTATATCCTTTTGTAGTAGAAAACATCTCACAATTAATATGTCACAATTAACAGAAACCTTCTATTTTAGAGGATGGTGGGGAAATTTGGTTAGTGGAAACAAAGTATTCTGAAGACTGTACTGGGGAGGGGGGACTGGTTGGCTCATTTGTTCGTTGGTATGGTCAAAGCCTCCTCTGATCACCAGGGACCCCTCCATGAGTGATTTACATAGATCTCAAATTTTAGTTAAATGCAAAAATGTCACAGGTTGCATGTGACTGGTCATATACAAACAGACCAAGGAATTCTATGAGAAAGGCATTCTGCATGTTTGTCACGTCTTATGGTGAATGTGTGACTAGGCTACGTACATCAATAACTGCCATTTGGGTTTCTACTGAACTTCCCTTATAGGAATCACCAACGAAACTTGCATGAGAACAATCACTTATTTCTTGTGGCCTATTGTAACACAAGCATCTGAATAATCCATATGCACTAACACATGCACCTTTCATTATCATGGTCCCAACTTGTATTTTTCACTTGAATTGTTGCCACCCACCAACTTAAATTACAACCTCTATTCTGATGCAAAAAACCACTTAGTTGTTTTAATGTACACTGTACAATCTGCATTAGAATTGTTATTCAGTATGCTGTATCAGATGTTTGAAGACTTGCACATGGAATCTCTTTTAAGATGTCAAAAATCTAAGAGAACAGTCACAGTAATAGCTTTCTTAAAAGATGAAGTCAGATAAATTCTGCTGCCTCACTTCCAGAACACAAAATATAGTGCTATATCTTAACTGCATACGAGGCTAAATATATACATACATAGATATGAATATATGAGTAATATAAAACAGCATATAAATGCATTTGTCTGCATTACATTCCCCAGCTTAACTTTTTAAACATCCCCTAGTTTTGACTGATGTACTGAAAAACCCATGGCTTCCCAATCATCCGGAAATTATGAATAAATTTACACACCCAGGTGCTGACAAACTTAAATTAATTTTAATATTTATGAGACTCAGAACTATAAAAATGCCTCTCTTCCACTAGCATGACAATCTGTTAACTGTAGTCATAAATTCTGCTCCCTCACTTCCAGAATAAGGCTTATAATATAGTGATATACCTTTAACTGCATATGAGGCTAAATATATACATGGATATATAGACAAGTAATATAAAACAGCATATGAATACATTTGTCTGCATTACATTCCTCAGCTCATAGTTTTCTGTGATGTGTTTAAAACCAGTGGTTCCCAAACTTCCTGAAATTATGAATAAATTTACACACCCAGGTGCTGACTAACTCAATTTTAAAATTTATAAAACTCAGAATTGAAAATATGCTTCTCTTCCACTAGCATGACAATCTGCTAGCTGTAGCCATTCAAACATTACGCTGGTAAGCATGGCACATTTAAATCCTATCACACATTTACTTGTGAGCGCCATTCTTCACAATTCATGATTATGCAACATAACACAGCTATTTCACTGATATAGGCTACATGCTTCATAGTCTGCGCTCAAATCCCAGTAGCATTCTTAAGACTTTTATCTTCACTATCACATTCAGATTCGCTCTGTGGCCCACCAGCCTCCTACTCAGTAGGTACCCTTTTCTTGAAGGGTAGTGTAAAAAACTGATGCTATTCACTCACCTCATGGCTCTGCCATAGCTCAGGCAGTTACTGGCTTCTCATTGCAGTGGCCAGACTCAATTCCAGGTTTGTCATGTGGGATTTGTGGTGGACAGAGTGGTAGAGAGGCATGCTTTCTTCCAGTACTCTGGTTTCCCCTAAAATTTCTCATCTATCACTCAGATTTGGTACAACAGAATCTGTTTCAACCTACACTATGAACAAAAAAAAATAGCTGGAGTTTTTCCAATAAAGAGCCAGAGATAATTCTAACACCTGCACAATCCTGAATGGGAACCAATGCTTTGAGTAACAATCATATAATTTTTACTGTGGGACCAAGACATGCACCAAGAAATCAATTATAATTCTAGCTACAATGTCCAAGATTTGACCTACCAGGATTTTCTTATTGGGGTTGCCTTGTTAAAAGATATTCTGCAATTCCAGTAGTGACATGACCTCAGTATGCAACATAACACTGTTTCTACTATCCCTTCATCCGCCTGTTATTTAAATATTTTATTCCTACCTCCAAGTGAAAACACCACGTCTCACAATTCATTTTCTGGGAAATGACCACTGTTTATTCTGTGAACCAATGAAATGCAGCGTCGGTTAAATGCAGAGTCAGTGAATGTTAAAGGAAGGCAATACACACTGCAAACAATTCTGTAACAGTAAAAAATAATAAATCTTACTATACTGTTATACTTACATTTAAAGGCCAAGTATCTTTAAAATGGGTATATACATATTAAATCAGTGAAAAATAAAATAACTCTTTTTAAGGATTTGCAAGGAAAACATCACACAAATGAAACAATACTCTTAACCCTCTGGCTATACAGTTAAGTTCCCATCTTACCTTATAAGAAATAATGCCAAAGTAAGTCTGCAATAGTCTCTGATATTCATGTTTAGTTCACGAAGTTCATATTAATTAAGCAGTTCTGTAGCATCTAAACTGACAATAAAAAAGAAACCACATAAAGTGTGAGAAGGCAGCTGTTCTTGCCTTATATCAGCATGCCACAGACTAGAACAGACATACAAATAAAAACATAACATCAAGCCCAGTTGACATAGGAGAGGAAATCTTGTAACTATAGCACAAACAGGAAATAAAAGTACCATATCTGAGAGGTATCTGGTTCACATATAATGGACTGTTTGTACTCTTAACAACTTTCTATTTTGATAGTCAGCCCAAAAGCATTCTTGATGGCAGTTGGACATCTCATTGTTCAAGTATTTTGAGCTACCTGTAGCTGTCTACATTCATTTTCTGTTAAACCTTCGGTGTAGAGGAATCTGCAGCAGCTTCCATTTCATAGCACTGCTAGGTATCTCAACTTCCGATGACAGGAATAAAAGTTATAGCATAGAGATGAAGAAAGTCATACTCTTGAGTTATGTTGTGACAATGTTTTCCCACATGTGAGACAGAAATGCTGTATGTTAAGGACGAAATATTCTTTTCCCTGCTGACTGCATTTCCTTCCCCAATCAACTTTCAACTGTCTATAAAATAAAGAACAGCAGAACATTACCATTATGGAACAGAGCTTTTATTCTATCTTACTCACCGAGGATAGCTATATTGACAGTGATAATTTGGACTGATTGAATATAATTCCATTGCTCACTTAAGTCCTCATGACTGAATTCCAACACAATCCTCTGCAACCACTGGTCATTCCCATTGATATGAATTTTAAAAAAATTCAACACTACCATACAAAATTGACAGCAAGTTCAGAATACACTATATGTGAATTACTCATTGTACAGCAATGTCCTTCAGTGGCTGACCTTAATTAACTGATCATGAAATTCTCCACAAAAGCCTACCACTGGGCTCAATCTTGGCTCAGTGCATTAGTTGTCTGCATGGCTTATCTTTAAAAGATCCATTTAAGCATTATCTTTGCATCTACACCAAGATCTCTCAAGTGGTCTCCTCTTGTGAGGCTTTCCAAGAAAAATCTGTGGTATGTTTACAACTAAGTTTATTTCAGTCCAATGTGGTATATAATGCCTTCACCACTTCAGCACTTAGTTATCTAACATGTTTCAATTCTTAATGAATCATCATCGGAGGTACACCACTACGATCAGGAACCCACCAATACGTAAATGTTTTTATAAGACTATACGTATACACTTAAAATATTTATGATGCTCACTATATGTAGTTGTTAATTTTCCATTGTTGAAATAGATGTTTGACGTAAACTTTTATAATAAGAACATTCTTGAAGTATATTACTTAGAAGTGACGTAGTTGCAATCACTTCCATAAAAGATAGTTTAAAAAATGTAATTTTCCACTGCACTGTATATAAAATGCAATTTGTTTCACCACAGCAGCCTTCCTTTATGTTAAAATTATGTTATGAAAGTGTGTAAAAAACTTATTTTTAAGTTAAGAAATTTGTTCGTGAACCAATATGGATCGTGTTTTATCTTCCTTGGTAGTGGATATTGTCGTCTATCACGAACAAATTTCTTAACTTAAAAATAAGTTTTTTACACACATTCATAACATAATTTTAACGAAAAGGAAGGCTGCTGTGGNCTGCACTGTATATAAAATGCAATTTGTTTCACCACAGCAGCCTTCCTTTATGTTAAAATTATGTTATGAAAGTGTGTAAAAAACTTATTTTTAAGTTAAGAAATTTGTTCGTGAACCAATATGGATCGTGTTTTATCTTCCTTGGTAGTGGATATTGTCGTCTATCACGAACAAATTTCTTAACTTAAAAATAAGTTTTTTACACACATTCATAACATAATTTTAACGAAAAGGAAGGCTGCTGTGGTGAAACAAATTGAATTTTATATACAGTGCATTGGAAAATTACATTTTTTAAACTATCTTTTATGGAAGTGATTGCAACTACATCACTTCTAAGTAATATACTTCAAGAATGTTCTTATTATAAAAGTTTACATCAAACATATATTTCAACAATGGAAAATTAACAACTACATATAGTGAGTATCATAAATGTTTAAAGTGTATATAGTCTTATAAAAACATTTACATATTGGTGGCTTCCTGGTCGTAGTGGTATACCTCCGATGATGATTCATTAAGAATCAGAACATGTTAGGTAACTAAGTGCTGAAGCGGTGAAGGCATTATATGTCACATTGGACTGAAATAAACTTAATTGTAAACTTAATAGTGTGACAGACCAGAATGAAACAAATCAAATTCACTGTGGTATGTCTTGATACCCACACATATGCTGCATGTTCTCCAGTATATAGACTACTTAACATAACTGTATAAATGTCATGTCATTTTAGAGAAGGAACTAAGCATGTCATGTTGTGGGATGAATTAGAAAACAACTGTGCAACTCTAGCCAACAAGCTTCCCCTTCTTCATCTCCACTTTACATCAGATCCCAAAGTACTTCACTGACAAGGATATTTCCAGATGGCATGATATATACCCATCTGGGTAATATTCAGGGGTGTGAATGTCAACCTTGCATGAATGTTACCAGTTCAACACTTTCAGATAACAGGCAACAAATACTCCAAAATAGGATGAGTGTCCATCTTGTAATGTCTTGTCAGTCATACACGCTAGATATTTCACATTAGATTATGTTTGATTAGGTGTGATGCATATTTGTAAGAGGGAGCATGGCACAAAAAGGTGTCCTCTTATTGTATATTCCAAATCAGTACAGCAAATTCATTACCTCTCACACAATTAAAAATGGTAAAAGTTCTGTAACTGTAACCAGATGTGTGGTTCAATCCTTTGGCTAGGGGACAGTATCTCCCTCATTCAAAAATACAAACGCACCAACCTGAATACTAATGATTATACTCTCTCCCACTTCCAGTATCGTTTCCCCCTCCTGCCAATTCATGAGTCTTTCACAGTTATAACTTGACATTTCTTCTGTGAGTGAAGTAGCTTACAATATTTAACATGCACAGATAATCTGTGAATATATACTTCACGCTCCTTCTTACAATGAACATGTGGCCTCATTCTGCAAGTTTGCACAATGAACATTCATAAACAACACTGCTCTGCATGTAACATTGACCATAAGCATCAAAGTGTATTCTGGAAATCCTTCTGTCCAAACTAACTCAAAATTTAATAAAACAAATTTTTTGTACATATTACAAAATAACAAGTCTCCAAAGCAATCACAAAATCAGCTGCTTAAAATATGTCCTATAATCAGCTAGTTAACATCTTTGTGTCTGCTTATTACAAGACTGGAGATCAGTAAAATTTCGAATTAAATAATGTTGAAACTAATCGACATTAAATGTACGGAAATGGTAATGCTGTTGAATTCGGTGGGCTTCATGGAATGAGATTAAGTCAAACACACAAGTCCTGAAGCATCTAATACGCGACTCAACCTGACACACGAATTCCAAAGCACCTATTGCCTGCCTCAGAGATGAGTTCCCAAGCATTTACTGCTAGACTCATGTGCCGCAAGTTCAAAAGAACCTAATTCTTGGTTCAATCACAGACTTGTGTGAGTTCCCAAGAATCTCTGCCTGGCTCCTTAAGAACACAAATTTCCCAAGCATCAAGGTTACAGATCTGTCACTGTCTTATCCTGCAAGCCAGGAACTAGTGCCCTCAATGACAGATACCTCATCCTATCTGCAACATCAACACTTGTCACATGCTGAAAGCAGCAAGGCTGTGATATATGACTTTTTGATGGTAAGGGCTGGGATTTTGGAGTTCGACGTGGCTTCCTCCCCCGCCTGCCTGGGACAGACAGACTTATGTTCTCTGGGCTTGCTGTCAGCCTCTCCACACGATGCCACATCTCATCTGCAGCCACTGGTGAGTCAAAGCTGAGCCCCACAAGAACACTGTGGTCTGATGATAAATGCATCGTGTGGAAGGCTCGACCAGAAACACGATATGAGCTGAGGTTGTCAATTGTGTCCTGCCAGAGTGTGAAGCAGGTTCCTCGTTCTGCCAAAAGAATCTGGATGCGTCGCTTGTTCCGTGATCGGGTCTCTCCACTGTCCAGCACAAGCACTGGGATTCCCATGTGGCCCAGTTCCCACTGGCCCTCACAGGATGTGGAGCCCCAGTACAGATTTGCCAGAGAGCCACAGACAAACACCTGAAATATAATGACTTGCCTCAGCATATCTGGATAAGGAGCAGTCTCTGTAAATTAATTAATGGCTAGATAAATAACTAGATCAGTGTTCTGCAACCAGTGTGCCTTCACAAGGCGAAAGGTGTGACGCGAACTTTTACCTATTGTAAGAAATTAATTGTCAAATTTTATTCGTTTTATTTTATCCCAGTTGCCGTGTTTCATGTGCTTGTATTTTATTCTCAGCCATTGCACTAATTAAATATGATGATGCTTGTTTATTCTTTATTATATGCTGTGATTTTTTATGTACAGTAATGTTGTATTCTAAGAAATTAAACGAAAATTATTTATTCACAGTTGTTGTTATATCATAGTTTTCATTATTGATTTATTTTTATTTTTCTCGCAACTACGCAGCTTCTTTAATATGTTTGCCGCATGTTCTGTGTACATGCTTTTCCCTAAAACTGCTGGAATTAGCATGGATTTTCCTGTCTTTTATAACGCTGTTTTGGTATTTGCCCCTGGTTGTTAGAAGTTGGAGCTTCTTCAACTTTATGACTTTCTTCCTGTAATGATGCACCCACCGATTGTTGGACTTCATTTCAAATTATAAACATTTCGAAAATAAGTCGGTATAGTGTCACTTCTTCTGTCTGAAGAGTAGAGGTCCCGCGTCTTACAATTGTTTCAGTTCTATCACAGCTGTGCTCTGAATCAGTTCGCAAATTTTGGTTGCTAGTTAGAGAATTACAGATGGGTTGTTTGAGGTGTCCCCGACTGTATGGCCACTTGCTGAAGGCAATAAAATGGTGATGGACACAATTAAAGAACATTTAGAAATGCTGCAGCAGAAATTCAATAAGTATTTTGGAGACAGTGTACAAGATTTCGACTGGGTTCGTGATCCATTTGTTGTGAATTCAGAACATCTTCCGATTAATATACAAGAGGAACTCACAGATTTAAAAGCAGACAGAACATTGAAACTAAAACTTCTCGAAGTGCCTTTGGATACGTTTTGGTTGGCAATAAGGAGTGAACACCCGGCTATCTCCGAGATGGCAGTTGATGTGTTATTGTCATTTTCAACTACATATTTGTGTGAACTGGGCTTTTTGACGTTAACTGAAATTAAGACATCAAAGAGGGAGCAGCTCAAATCCATCGATGAAGAAATGAGACTTGCGTTGTCAACGATTCACCATGGATCAGTCGCCTGTGTGCAGCTAAGCAGGCGCAAGTGTCACATTGAAGGTATGAGTAGAATTATTTACTTCAATAGTAACAGAAGTGTATTTTCTACACTCTACAGTGAATTAAAGTTCATTAATTGTTAATAAATGCATGAGTCGATTTCTGTTTAATGATAATAATATTATAGTAATAAGTTGATCACATTACATATTTATATTAATTGTCTGATATCATGCGTTTTTGAGGGGAATAACATGTTGGTGTGCTGTGTTGAGTCATGTATACTTCATGGTGTGCCGCGAGTAGAAAAAGGTTGCGGAACACTGAACCAGATGACTGATTCTCTGTATGATATTTAACATCAGGGCAGAAGTGGTGGTTACTACCTACAAGGTTGTACAGTATTATAAAGCAGAAAACCATAAAATCACTAATTCCCCGAATCTCACTCAAAAGGGTCTAAACCAGTGGTTCCCACACTCTTCTGGGCCACAACCCCCTTCACACCATAAACTCATTCTGAGTACCCCTTGCCTACCCCACAAAATTCATTCTTCAGAATAGCGGTTTGCACAACCCACTAAGGAAGATTATAACAATAAAATAAGATACCACATTTAGTAACTACTTCACTGGAAGTAAATGTTTAATGCGATGGACAGGCTTAATGATGTGACACCAATTTCCCAATGTCTGATCTAAAGACACTTCAACTGTTAATAAGCAAACAACACGCTTGGAGAGGCCCCCTTCACTGCCCCCCCCCCCAGGGGTCAGTACGGCCAACTGCGGGAACAAGTGGTCTAAATCAGTGGTTCTCCATGGGGGCCATGCCATATTTCGGAGGGGCCACAGGCAAAAGTTGGAAAAATGGGGAGGCATGGAAACTGTTAAATGGACCACAAAACAATCTCATTTCTAAAACAAAATTAATAATATAAAATGAAATAAAAATGCCAAATGGTCAGCACATATAACAACAACACACTAACTCAATATCCTTGTTTTTGTATACTTTAACTATAAGAGGCAGAACCTATTGTATTTAAACCACAACCTTAGATCTCGGAATTCCAAGTACTGGTAAACAGGTAATCGCCTTCTTGGAGTGGGCAAAGCCCTAACTAAATGGTTAACTGGTAAAATTATCCTTCGTTTTCCTAATTACCTCTCACTCCTCTCATGAGTTTTACTGCCACCTTTTCAGTAAATTTAAAGTGTTCTTCACTTCGGTATTCAGAGTGTTTAGAAGAAGACATTTTTTCTGCCCAAATTCTATTATTCTGGCCATTACCTACATTAGAAATAAGTTCCAAACTCCAGCTACTATTTTTTGACAACTAATTATTACATTTCATAATTACTTTAACTTTCAGTACAACTAAATTATTACCTTTCAACAGAATTTGAATACCCTCCCTCCACAAAAGAAAAATGTTGTGAATTGATTACAGCAGTTTTGTGTTTATTTTAAGTAGAATGGCTTCCAAAGTAACTTTTATGAATACTGACTTCAAAATTTTTCCACATCTTTAAAAAAAAATTCAGAAATAGAGTAGTCATAAATTTTAAAAATTCAAACTGCCAAAAATTGTTTGTTCCCATGGACCAATTTGCTTGGTTTATATTCAAAAGTATAGATTCACTTTCATATAAATACCTATGTTGATAAAGTACATATTTATTATAAATATTCATTATAATGAAGCAAAATTGAGGGGAGGGGACACAGAAGCAGGAGCAAAAAAAGGTTGAGAACCACTGATGTGAATCATGCTATCAGGTGCAATCCTTAGCCCTGTCCTCACAAATAATTCCCTGTGATAATTTTTAATATAATTTTCGTCTGTTTCCTGGTCTGGAATGTGATCAATAGGGCCCGGATTTCTATGACATGTCATATTTATTTCATAGGGTTTATTCCTATTTTTAAATGTAATTATGCACGTTTCCAATCATTCTTATTGAAATTATGTCGTTTTTATTGTGCATATAAATGCATATTTTAGAGTTTTATTGGTTTTACAGCATATTTTGGCATAATTTTGAAGTAAGGTCATATTTTTGTCATTTTAGAAACAATTCTTTGATATAATGTAAAATTTCGGCTCCATAATGTTTAGTATTACAAAATAAATTTCAGGCTGGACTGTTGCTTCAATGTG